TTTTTTTTTTTTTTTTTTTTGAAGCATGTCATTTATCCTTGGAAATGAGAGCTTAGCAGTAAAGCTGACGTGCCATGCTTCCTCTGTGGATTCTAATTCTGCATGCCCAGGGTTACTCAAGCGCATACCTAATTTCATTTTTAGTAATACATTGAATGCTTTCTGAATATCTTTGTGAGCACTGAACCTTGCAGATCATACGTAGTATGTATGCCTATCTGTTGTGGGTCAAGTGGTATATTTGGTACTCAGTTGACCATTCTTGTACTTGCTAAGTTTGGAGTTTATATCCCCTTGAACAACGTATCTTCTTTTGTCTTGAAACTTTGCCTTGTTCAGTATTAGTTTGAGTTATTACATCTTAACAGCGAGCATCAAATTAGTGTACTTTTATAAGAATACTGCCATTCTTAAAAGTGTGTATGTATACATACATATGTGTGTGTGTGTCTGTGTCTGTGTCTGTGTATGTGTATGAAAAACATGAAGGAGAAGAAATAGCAGCCACAGAGGAAATTGTTAGAAATTAAAATCACATGATTTGAACTGCTAAGAGAAACGTACTGTCTCCTTCAGAAATTACATCTTTATTTTTGATATAAATTTAATGGAGGCTAACAGGTACTATTATAAATTTTAAATTTTAAAGATAAAATCTCTTTTTTTTGTGATAAATGTGGGTTTTTTAAAATGCTGTCATAAACGATCCTAATTTACTGAATAATGTATCTTATATTCCAAGTCACTATTTTTTCTATTAAAATCTTTTTTTAAATGTTAAAATATGACTTTGCATGCTTAATATTAATCCTAAAAAGGATTATGACTTTTAATTCCTCAAATCTAAATGCATGATTTCTTACAGAGGTTACTTCTGTGCTTTCCCCAGTTCCGTTAGTTATTTTTTCATCTCACTAAGTTTCTCATTGTTCACAACATTGACAGTATCTTTGCTCCTTTTTTTTTCAATGTTTTTTCAGTATTTCAGTGTTTGAAACATTGGGGTACCGTGTTGTGACTTAATCTATAAAAGGCCAAAGCTCTCACAGATACTTTTTTCTGAGAGTTTTTTTTTAATAACCAGAAGACAATAGTCTAGATTTTATTTTTTCTTTTTCTTGCGGTTTTATATCTGCATTAACAGTTACTTTGTGTCTAGACCTGTGTATACAGAACGCTTTTGAAAGCAAATGCTTATTTAGTCAAGAGTCATTTTGGGTGAAAACTATGAAGGAGATTCTGAAGCACAATATTATTAATACTGAATATGAAGACTTAAGACAACTATTCTTTTGCTGCGTTACAGCAAATTTCTTGGTTAGTCCAGGCACATACATAAACTGTATTACTAGACTTTATTAGTTACAGGGAAAAAAAAAGAATTTAAGATGATTTCCACACTGTAAATGCAATAGTTTTCTCAGATACTGGTAACTTGCTCATAGGACTTGGAAAAAAAGAACCTAAGTTTTGTCCAGCTGTTGAAATTTCAACTTCTATTTTAGATATCAGTTTATTCTTGGAAGCAAAATGAATTAGAATTGATTTTGGAAGAGCTAGCAAACATGTCTAAAAAGTACGCAGGGAGACTTCAAAGCTCTTTGAACAATAGAATTTCTGCTGTAACTCATCAGATAAGATTGTTTTCATATGTATTTTAGGAAAATGCCTGTTCCTTCTCTCTGTGTTTCATTGAAGAAAATGGATTGTGCTATAGTCACTTGAATTGTCTTCCAGGCGCAGTTTGGAACTCTATCAGACTACTTTGAAGCTTTGCGCAAAGAAAGCAATTTGGGTGAAAAGAGCACCAATTCATTTTTCCCTGTTTTAAGTGGAGACTTTTTCACATATGCAGACAGAGATCATCATTACTGGAGTGGATACTTCACATCACGACCATTTTATAAGCGACTAGATAGAGTTCTGGAATCCTACCTGAGGTAAGTAGAGCCATCCTGTAAATGGGAAAGTCACGTCTTCAAGTGTATTACATGTATTTGAAGGATGGAAAAGTAATTTTGAAATGCACATTTTATATTTACATTAAGAATTAGAGTAAAACTAACCTAAATGGCCTGTAAGTGTAGTTTTTGTTGTAATGATTAGTCTGTGCACGTAGCATGTAAGTAGATTCACAGAAATAGAGAGATATTTTTTTCCATCCAAATAACGCTTATTTTAAAATATTATGCAAGTCATCAATAATTCCTGATTTCATGAAAAAAGCATTTTAAAATTTCTGTATGAGATTTGGATGGTCTTCATATGAGTTTATAATTATGGCTATTTTGTGAACTCTTTTAGAAAAAAATACAAGTTTATCAGGCTTATTTGAGACAAAATTCAGTAGTCAGGATTGTTTTGTAGCAGATGATCTCAAATTGCCACTTTTTTTTGAGTAGAGGGCAAACCTACTGTGGTTTTGGTTTGTGGTTAATGCAGCAGTTACGGGCTTCTCCCTTGAAGATGCTGTAGATAACATGCATTGTAATAGATTTAATTATTGTTAAAGACAACAAAAAGACATTTTGGACAGGTGTACGTGATACAAATCCAACTTTGGAAACAACTTCTATATGATCAGTGATCAGTTTCTTAAATGATGAATATTGCTTTGGCGTGAAATATTTGTTTTCAGTGCTGGTTTGGTATTTTCTTCTTATTATTGTCCGTGGTCATCTAGCATGGCCTGCCTGCTCACCAGTTGGTCTGACTCTTGCTCTTTCTGATGTGAGCCTTTCATTCTGTGTGTGCTGCATTCCTGAACATCTTCTTGTATATGTTCTTTTTTCTTTTTTCTTCTTTTTTTTAAATCTGTCTAGAGGCTTACAGTTTTTTTAAGCTTTGTAAGTCTGAATGTTGCCGAGATTTAAGGAACAATATTTGGATGCAGAACAGTTTTCTGCAGTGCTGTAAATTAGATTTATTTCTATGTTTTATATATTTGGAGGTTTTTTATATTGGTAGAAGTGGCATACCATGTGCTTGTGCTGTTAATTACATTATCAGTAAATAATTGTATTTTATTAAACAACTTCATAGAATCACAGAATACGTAAGGTTGGAAGGGACTTCAGAGCTCATCTAGTCCAACCCCCCTGCTCACGCAGGGTCACCCAGAGCACGGGGCACAGGGCTGTGTCCAAGCGGGTTTTAAAGATCTCCAAAGAAGGAGACTCCACAACCTCCCTGGGCAGCCTGTGCCAGGGCTCTGTCACCCTCACTGTCAA